GYAYRYGMRMAWRAGTATGTGCAATYTTAGAAGTAAGGCCTTCTCTAGGAMCTAAAAWCRCTGTGATTTTAGGAAACTTTTTTCGATTTTAACAATAATCCCCCATGAGAAAGGTCCAAAAGTATTTTTCCATCGATTTATTTTTTCAATAAAAATGAAATTGTTTATATCTTTATATTTATCAATGTGTTTACCGTTCTATTTGTTCACTTCTTCAGCGTTTTAAAATTCAATCAAGAGCTGGAAATGACGATTCATCTTGTAGCAAGGCGATGTAAATATAACCCCATTAGATGCACCGATTACACTTCAATTCGATATTTCACAAGTGYTTATAGTATCTGTAATGGTTATGAAAAGAAGCCGACACAATGTGCTATTCCCTACAGGTATTGGAAGTTCAATAATAATTTCTTTTATAACCTAAATGATAATCTTGACGCAGTTTACTTAAACTCTAAAAACGTGTCCCAGTCTTTTTGCTTATAATAAATAGGGGGAGTACATGAACACTGTTTGTTTTAAAGAATTTATATGGCAGTAAAGAACTTGTATATAATTTGAGATGTATAATTGACCTTTTTAAAGGCGACCGAAGCCCTGCAATTTCTTTTCTAMTTAACGACAACCTTCAGGGTTCAGTTGTAGAAAACGTAGCGACTCTTAAAATAATCAATATCAGGGAGGGTGAAGTGTTTTTGCTGTTCAAAACGAGAGAGCACAAGTTGAGATATTTTAAAGATATTTATAATATAAATGTAATAGTACGAACGCTCTGATTGGTCCAAGAGGGTGATATATTTCGCCGGTAAATGCACGCTAGCGAGCATGAATATTTTTTCTTTTATCATATAACAATCTATAAAATACCTATATTTCTCCTTTTCGTAAAGTTGTTATTTCTTGGTGAAAATAACACATTCGAGGGTGGAAGTAGGAAAAAAGCTATTTTACGACATAATTTATTTTCATGTGAAATTATATGATAAACAAAATATTACATGGTCGCTTGTAGCCGAGATACGAATTTTATCTTCTCGTGTAGAAAATCGCTTCACTCTTCGAAGCTGATAAAATCYGTATCTCCGTACGGCCATGTAAGAATGTAATATCCTCTATATTATAAAAGCAATAATCCATCCTTTATTGCTTAATGGAAGTACTATGACAGTTTTCTTTTTTGAACTTTAATACAAACATTGTTTGTAGCGTAAAAATTGTTTGATGCACACTAAAAAATGAAAAAAAATAATATTGACATGTAGTAGAAGGTTAGTCTCCTCGCAGCCGTTCTTAGWGGCGGGCTCCCTGGGGCGGGGGACAGGGAGCCCGCCACTAAGAACRKCTGCGGGGMGACTAGTAGAAGGTCGGAGCTTCTATAAAAATTGGCAGTCGAGGACTGTATGTGACTCARGYCATTAAGAGATTTAGTWAACTTTGAATACACTATCTTCAGTAYACAACGTTTTCTGAATYATCTGTATACGCTKCRAGGAACTGGAAACATCACGTGGCGATCAACCATTACGTTGMCTATACWCAACAGGCGRCGATTCCCAGGGGCCACACCTATWGTGACGCTTGATCATTGCTCCCGTGGGGCCTGACGCGGGGCGCTGTTTTTTCCTTGCCTAATAAACACAATCCGTCTGAAAGCACTTTCTTTGATTCGGAAAATGAATATTTATCCACGACATGGAGCAGTCCTTAGAGCTTTAATTTAGCTGCAATCAAAGACATCTTTCTGTATCTGTTGACTTATAAACTCATTAAACGTTTTCTCCCATAAAATGTTTTTATTATCTAAACTTTTTTTTACATCCATGTTTTATAACTACTATTATTCGCCTGATTATAGTTTTGCATTAAAACGAAAGCTTGCTAAGTTTTCCTTGATTTCTTTATCAATTTTATACGGATTGTCATTCATCCTCTTTTAACATTCAYTATATTTACATTCAATAATGTGTAAACTTTTATATCATCAAGAACGAAAATGTGAAACATTCTAGAGGTCTTTAATTTTGTTCAGTTGAATTCCAGCAAATATCTGCCTGGTTTGTAAACCGCTTACGTTAAGAATTTTAAAGAGATTTGTGCCATGGTGTTTATCCGAATACTAATAATGTCTGTCTAATATAAGAACTGTACACCTTTTCCTGTGATGATTTGGAAAACAATAACAATAACCTTGGTGAAAGCCGTCATATTACATCGAACATCGGTATTCGGCCGCAAATCACCCATCCCCACCCCCATCAAATAATAAATCGACTGAAGAATGATTATGCAAACCCTGTATCCTTTGCTAATTCCTGAGCTGAGCTCTGATTGGCTCACTGATCCCTAAAGGTTTTGGTGACGTCATATATTAGCATAGAACTTCGCCGAATAGACTACCCCGATTAGATATTATATAACTGTAAGTGTCTTCATAGTACGATGGTCTAAGAGGGTAGCTAAAGGTATGCTCTAGTGGGCGGCTACCCCCTCACTCCCTGGCCTTTTGGTTAAGACTAAGTTTTATGTTCACTCGGGATAGCGTGGAAGAGCCGAAATCTCTAACCGTAACGTAAGCCGATTCGACGCCTCAGCTTCATAGAATGTCTCGGGGGAATCGTCCCATCTTTTTAGTTTTTTATTTTCATTATTTCTTATGTATGTCAGGGGGGGTACATCTTCTCCTAAAGTGAACGTCGTGAGTTCGAGCCCTGCTTCTGGAATTTCTCTTTTTTTTTCYCTTTTTTTTCRCTTGTTTATTGTTTCTTTTTCGTTTGTTTCTTGTTTTCTTTTCTTCTTTGTTTTTTTCCTCTCTTCTTTTCGTTGCTGTTAATTGTTATTTCGTTTTTTTTTTCTCTAGAGATTTTCTCTTTTCAATTTAAAAACATATCAAGGACTCGCAAGGAACGCCTGCTACAAGTGGATGGGTACGGTGTTCGGTCACTCAACACAATGACATCGTAACGAGACCCGCCAATTTTTTGGCAAAAAATAATAATAATGTATAATTATGTATATAAATTTTTTCAATCTAAAATGAAATATGACGGCACAAATGGAACTTCTAGATTAGGCCCCCTCACTTTTTTTTAACCCTTCTACAGGCCTGCATAAGCCAGAAGGATGAATAGCTACGATGGGCCACGGAGTTTTTGAGACCGTTATGGAGCCAGAGCGCAATTACTGCTGAATTGTAGCAGCCACGTGCATAGTTTTGGAGAGACAAATGATAAGTTAGCTGATAAAGACTGTAATCAGTGCAAAATCACATCGGGTATTTCACTTGAAGTTAAAAGAAATCCTGGATAGCGTTTGAACAATAATATCTCAACAAAAAGAAATAAAAATTCTGCTCAAATCCATAATCTCCGCGGCGCAACAAGAATTAGTCGACCAAAGTTAGCCGGACTTTGAGGCAAGTTCTCTCAGCGACGACTTTTGATAAACATTCTCTTTTATTAGCTAAACAGCAGATATATAAGTATATTTTCCTAAGCTGAAAATTGACACTTTTAAAGACTTTTAGAGAACCACCTATATGACGAAGAGAAGGCGCCGAGCTGGGCTGACTTGGGCTTTAATCCACTATGAATACTTCCTTTCTRTGAAAAACACGGTACATCTACACTTCATTGCTCTATTTTTTCTACCAATTTCTTTTCTAATCTCTTTTCGGTGTATTACTTTACAGTTCGCTTTGACTATTGCTCAAAGACACAAAAAAGATGACATTCAAGTGTAAGTTACCAAATATGATGGCAAAATGGACTCAAAAATCAGAATGACTTTTAATCAGCGTGATTGAATTTGTATTGAATTTATGCCTTGTTCGGCTTCATAGAAACATCAAATTTAATTACGATTTGCATCCTTTAAACTTCCCGCCTTGAAAGCCCTTTAGAATCAGAGACGCTTCAAGGGTCCTTAACTTCGCCTGCAAAAATAGATTCCTTTCCCAATGAAGAGTGTTTTTTCAGTTAATGGAAATGATCCCAAAAGGGCGCTATCGTTAAAGTCCAGCTTTTAAGAGTACTTGAAAAATAAAACAAACTACACTTGAGAAAACTCCCGAAACGTGAACGATATCCCAAGCCATCTTTCAACCATTGTAGATGACCTCATCATCATCAACTGAATCTTAAGAATGCCACAACTCCCCGATAGATAACTCTGGCTAAAAACAGCGACCAGTGGATCCTGTTTTGAGGCCTAAATCGTGATAATACGAGCGTAAAATTCTACGTCAATGCGTAGACATTTTGACAATTATTTTTTTCAAGGCATCCGGATATCCTGAGGCTAAGGTAGACCTGTATAATCCCTTTCATTTCAAAGATAGATATGAATTCACTGAAGTCAAGAAACCGGCGAAAGAGGCATTAGGATAATACAACTCAATAGTCGCTAATGCTATTATTTGTAAGTGTGTCTATTGGACTAGTAATAGCAATATTATTTACACTAGAAACAGGAACAATAAAGACATATTAATGTCATGAAGCATAAACTACATCTGACATTTGTACAGTGATTTGAAGAATTCTAAATKCTAACATATATAAATGTATATTACTAAAATCATCTAAATTTTTTCAAAAATGTGCTCAGTTTGTAGCAATTGAACAATGAATCATTCTAGTCTTAAGTACAATTTTATTTTTTAAATGTATATTATTAGTATATTAGATAAATAGATAGTTTATTAAAATCCCTTGCAACCATAAGGCTGGATTACGGACAATTGCAATGTAAAGAATGATAAAACAAGAAATGTAAAAAAATGGGTGATGAAATTTAAACTATTTCCTGAAATATAATGTATCTTTATATGTACATAATTTAAGGTAGATGATATTTCAAAATTAAACCTTTAATTTATCGTTAAACCGCAGAATATGTTTGAATAGACCTARAATAAGCACAATCAAAGAGTTTCAATGATTTGAAATCGTTTCAGGGAAAAGAGAGCAAGAATTAATTACCCATGATGCATCTGATAACTCGGATATATTTTACGGGTCATATTTTACGAGAATTTTTGCAAATGACTGCAATATTTATAGAGGAAAAAAACAACAACAACAATCAAGCTTTAGAGGCTTTTAGGGAGCATTAGGCTGTCGTAAGAACGGATTTATTTTTRTAATGCTTTATAGCACTCTACAATTTATTACTTCGCATTTTGCAAATTTTCTTGCATTTTGCAGACATATTAAAATTTWGTACATTTTGTTTTTCGGGTGCGTTTATGAAAACCACTCCCACTCTAATGTCTTCCTTGTTCTACAACATTGTTTTGCTCTTGCGACAATTTGCCCTGAGAGAAAATACTTTTGCGCGGTTAAATAAGCACGTAGTTCTTATCTATGTATGTTTTCACTTGAGCTACAATTTTGAACSACAAAGACACARAAAAGATTTCAAGCCATTGACAACCGTCAATAAAACGTCTCTATACGGTATAATATCTCCAATAACAAGGAAAAACTGATAATATGYGAACAGAATAAGGAAATGATGTGATTTTAATTAATCTGTTTGTGGATTCTTTTAGGATGAGCTACCCTACCATACCGCGCAAAGGAAAACGTTTTGTACAKTGAATATTTCGACTATATTATTTAAGTAAGTTTTAGTTGTTTATTGTGTTGATAATTTAGCAAATATATTGTATTTACGCTGCAATGAATTTGTTTTCAGCATAATAGATATGAATAGTGAGATAATAAACACATTATTGCGCGTTAAGGTTGAGCACGATATCAAAATTATCAAAAAATCATGCCGCACTCACTAAAAAACAAATAAATGAATTCACAAATTGCGAGATTTAACTTATAACATTTAAATACTGTAATAAAATACCTTATAGACAGATATATTAATAATAAGTTAATAAAAACTAATTATTTTTTTATGCCTAAAAAGAACTTTCTATTTAAGAGCTATTTTGTTTTTGAATTTTTCTTATTTACTTATCTGTTTCAGAAGTTCATAATTTCTTTAAAAGTTTCTTATTTATTTATTTAACATTTTTTTCGCATTCAATATTTACTAATATTGTGTACTCTTCGTCCAGGTGTATATGAGAAAATATTTTTAGATAGCGAACCAATCAGTGCGCGTGAATTGTGTATACTTATTGTACATATCTAAAAAAAATATTATCATAGATATACAGCTGATATCTGACAATTAAACTAACAACAACCTTTAACCTTGTCGCATTATTACAAACATATCTCCACACATAAAGCCACAATATAAACGTCATAAAAAACTCATTATACTTGTAAATTTTCATCGAGGGAAAATAATTCSACTCAAACTGACCAATCAGCGTCCATTATTTGGCAGATAATACGTCACTTAATTGAGTAGTTTTGTTTATATATTATTAGCGCGTGTATCGATCRTTCCTYGGTGACATCAAGTTGCAAACACGAAATCCACAGCTGCAAGTAACATTACTAACTCAAAGCCAAGTTGACATGAAARAAATGCTGTAATGGCAAGCTTTGTGAAGCCTTCAAGAGGCAAMGAATTGAGATCTGGCTTGTCAAAGTGGGARYTAGAAGARCTGACTCAAGAACGCCGTAAGACTCTGAACAAGAGAGAACTRCAYCGTGAAATCTTCGCCGATGGACTTCGATGTCCGCTGTGCTTTTCCTTGCCTTGTGCGATAATAGCTTTTATTCTTCTTATTCTAATGGGACTGTACATTGTCCATCCGTATCGAGTCGGTGAGTTTGATTTTAATAACTGTTTTGCTTGTTTGGTGTTTTGGTAAATATAACACTCAAGAGTTCACTATATGCCATCCTAACATATTTGCACCTAGGTAAACTTGATCTTTATTCTCAAGGACTTCAAAACCACTGATGGCATGTAAAATCCATTCTCGAGACACCCTTGCAAAAACAATCTACACGCTGTATGGTCGGCTTTTGTACTATTAATTGATTTTTACTTAGCCATCCATGATCAAGCTCCGTTGCTAAATAGATTTTTAACAGACCGTTGACAATTTCACTTATATATATATAGAACTTAAACTAAGGTTTACTCGCTTTAAGATGCATTTAATATAATACATTTTACCGTAATAATCCTACTCGGAAAGAAAGTCTGACCTTTTTAATCCCTAGGATTTTATCTGTCGACCAAAACAAACTAAATTAAACACTAAAATACCATGGAATCTGTAATTATAGTTTTTTTTTGAAAACGCGTCTGGTAAATGCATTGTTTTAAATATAGATTTATCTATGTTCTGGCTGGCTGGATGTATTGTATGTCGAGGCCAGATATGTATTGTTTGGGCTACTTATGGACAATCTCTGTATTCTTTCTAATATATCTAAATCTCAAAAAGGTYKTTGTTAAATGACAGTGGAGTCCAATATTAAACATTAAACGCCTTTCTTTTTTCGCAAATACATAGATATAATATAATTCCACACCTTTTTTATACACAGACAAAAAATGACAATTTATAAAGTACCAAAAAAGATTGAAAGTTCCCGTCTATTAGATCTAGCCTGATAATATCACTATCAGATAACCTCTAATATCAGGACTCCAATCTTCCTAAAAACAATCTCCCCGCTTTATATCTTGTGGAAATTACTTAAAAGGGTTATTTTTATTGCCGATGTTTGAAGGAATGGTAGTTTTGTGCATTAATATAAGCCAAGATAATAATCAAGATTTGGGCTATCTGTTTTGTTCAAGTTTTATCTACCGACGAGAATGTCACCAACGTTAAGTGATGTACTTAAAGTGACTGCGACCTTCATAGGAGCTTACACGGACAAGATAAGCGTGCCAAAAGGGGATTTTGACTGAACCTTTGCCTTTAAGCGTTGCTGATGCCTAATAGCAGTTATGTGCTGTATTCGGAGCGTTGTATAGACTGTATAGTTTGTTTTTATATTTTTGGCGGCAAAACTGTTATAGTGAGTGTGGGCGTTCGAGTGGTTTTCCAAAATCCATGAAATAATATTACATGGGCGCGCGGAGATACGGATTTTATCTTCGAGTGTTGAAAAGATCTCTCACGAGTGAGCGTAGCAAAATGTTCAACACGAAAAGATAAAATTCGTATCTCCAAGCGACCATGTAATATTCTATTTATCATATGAAAATTGTATATGAAAGCAAATTATGTCGTAAAATAGCCTTTTTTCTTACTTCTACTATATAGAGAAACCTCAAAAGTGTTATTTTCACTAGTGAAAATATTACGTTTACGAAATGGTGAAATAGTATAGGTATTTTCTAGATAATTATATGATAAATTGTAATAAGGTTGACACACCGAAAGAACATATTCACACTAAAATCTTAGCCCAATATAAAGAGATAACCCAGAAGTCAACGCACACGGAACAGTGTTACACAATGTGTAGCGACGCCATTTTGTACAACAGAGCATCACGGGAAAGGCAGTTTTTTTGCGTTTCCCTGGTAACACATCTTGGCGAACGATTACAATGTTTATGAAGGAGAAATGTTGAGGTTCTTGTATCTTTGTTGACAAAGTTTGACTATGCGTTCAATTTATTTCATTCTCACAATCAGTTTTGTCTGTCCGTCTGCATATTTCTGCAATTTCAAGTGACACGTTCGTACTAGTACTAGATGTCGTTGTATTCTATAGGTGATGGCTGTGTAGATAATCCACTCTATACCTAGAATACTTTTCATAACAGTTAACTCTAGTATCAGGTTTTTTTCTGCCATGTATGAGTCTTAGTTTGCTGCGCCATTTTGTAAGCTAACCGTACCTTTGCATCGAGGCAAGCTGCGGCGAGTAGTGAGAAACAGTCAACTCTCGCCTTACGGACACCCCGCTACCACGGACATCTCGATTTTGCGGACAGTAAAATACTGAATCCTCGGCGAAAAATACAAAGAAATGACTGAAAGCAACTCTCGTTACTACGGAATCTCGCTACTGCGGACACTAGATTACGGTTCAGAGGGTGTCCGTAATAGCGAGAGTTGACTGTAGTTAGTTTTGTGTATCTCACTGGTCGCCTTGCCGGCTAGCTTTCAAGATGGCGCAAACTATACAAKAGACTACTAAGTTGTGTGAGATGATTTCTTGTTATGATTTGTCGTTGCAGGTAAATCTCTACTTAAGACCCAGTGTTATTACAATAGGACAGAGTATAGTCCAACATGGGCAGGCTACTGCAGCCACAGGACAAACCTTTTTAAACCGTGCTTTAGAATTATTGTAAGTATAAACTATTTGATCACTTATAGACTTGTAGCTCGATCGGGGAGAGGGGCAGGGGTTCAAAACAATGAAAAAAACATTACACCAAACAACCACTCCCCCCAAAGGAAAACCATCTCCCCCTCCCCCTCTCCCCCATCATGAAGCTGCTTTCACATCACATGAAGCAGGGCCATAGCCACCGCAAGAACCATTTCTTCCTCATAAAACAGCATAGAAAAATAGGATATGTTTAGCGACGCCATTTTGTACAACAAAAAATGATGTGAGTTTAAATCCTCACAATTTTGTAATGAAGTTATAGCCCCTGAAAATATTTCCTTAAAACCCATTTTTTGCTTTAAACAGCACAACTACTTCTATTTTTGCTGAGAAAAAGTAAAAACGACTTATGAGGAGTGTTTTAATGGGCATGAAAAATAATTTATTATAATAATAATTTATTAAAATTCTATAGCGCCTTAATTATTAAGATATTCTAAAGCGCTTCACAATACAGCCTTTTGCACAAATTATGAGACATTTTTATATATATAAATATACAGCCTTTTGCACAAATTATGAGAATTTTTTATATATATAAATATACCTAACCAAATATCAAAAACACCCCAGAAATTATGGTATATCTCTATGATATTTTGTCATGATTGCCTAGCATCAGGTTGTTACAGACAAAATATCAGCGACGGTATCCCATAATTTCTTGGGTGTTTTTGATATTTGGTTAGGTATATTTATATATATAAAAATGTCTCATAATTTGTGCAAAAGGCTGTATTAATACACTAATATACTAATATATAAATATAATATGATTAAAATAATTTAAATAAATATCCTAAAGAAACGCTTTCCTAAAAAGGTGAGTCTTAAGTCCTATTTTAAAGGTATTAATACTATCACATGATCTAAGTGATAATGGCAGAGCATTCCAAACAGTAGGGCCTGCGTGTACAAATGCACGTTCGCCGAAAGTCTTACACTTAACACGAGGAACTTGCAAAAAAGTACGGGAACTACAACTAGTACCATCATGCTTCGTTACACAAAATGGCGTCGCTGSACATTGCATATTAGTGTTATCCTAGAAAGCGGGACCAATTTTTTCAAAATTCGGTCTATTGGGTCTGTGCAAACCTACGCTCGTTAGGTGTACAAGGCTAGTGATTCAGAGTGAGAGAAGAAATCAGAGATAAAAACGAGATATGTATTAGTGTATTAGTCTAATATCTATTTCACGGTTTAGAGGGTGCGTATATGAAAGCCATTCAATAACTCTAATGACAGCTAAATGGCCAAACTAGAATAAAAACAGTTGGTGGGATTTTTAATCTGCACGTCCATTTCAGCCAATTTGGATTTTAAGGCATATCTTCAACTGAAAGGAAATGACTTGTCAGTAACACCAAAAAACCCCGACACTTCAAACACATTTGTTGCCAACAAGATTTGCCGTAACTCAATGAAATAGAGTYTTAAATACATCAGCATGCGCTGTGCTTATCATAGCGAGTACACAGAACATTGCTCTACAGTTAGATATATAATGCTTTTATATTAGTCCCGGTTCTGTAAGTATTTGAGTATGCTTTTTGCAATCGCACTTGAGTACAGAACCTATAAATGGAATTCCTCAAGTAATTTAATTGAACGTGTTTGTGAGAATGGGGTTTTGAGTTTTACTTTCCTAAATTATTGTTTTGCGCATTTCAAGATGATGAGTATTATTAAAGTTTTTAGTTGGAGTGATTATCGYTGCCTTTTAACGTCGTTAGCAGCGCTGTGTTGTCTGATAGCGGCTTCCCACTTTGCTTCTTGTTTATTCTCCCATTATTTCAACACAGGCAGTCCAGTATTTCATTTTTTCTGTCTTCTTTCTTCATAAAATGAGTCCTAGTATTTTGCTACGTCTTTGAAAATTGATGTTTAAAGCTGTTTTTTATTTTGAAAAGGAAGGGAAAAAACTCGAACACTAAACGATCAACATATACAAAAGAAAGACTCCTTAAAAAGCTATAGAAATTATTCTGAAATTATTCACCTCATTTTCTTATCCGCAATAACAGTGAAGTGACGTCACTCAACTCAGTGACGTTACAGCCAATAAACCGCTCAGCTAACTGCCCATTTTGCATCTTAATAAACACGCATTAAATCCGTGAACCACGTATCACACTAATTACTACTAATACTCGCTTGATTATATCACTACTGATGACTAAGCGGCTTAAATACACCCTTCTATACTACTCATAGCACTAGAAGAGAATGGATTTTATCCCTGATTATCCCGATAATATAGAAATAGAAASAAACTATATTAATACTACTGATTAGCTTGTCCAGGATTAAATGATAGGAACCGATATGTCTTATTTGATGATAACATTAAGAAAGATAAACGAGGTTCATTGGTGAGAGTATCRTGGGCTTGTAAGAACCGACGGCTGAGAACTGAGTCAAAGTGAAAATATCATTACATTTTTTTTTCATGGTTTCAGGTTTGTTTTCTTCCTTCGTTTGTTGTTGTTGTTTTTTTTTAATTTGTTTATTTCTTTATTTGTTGTTGCTGCTGTTGTTTTGTGCTTTTTTTGTTTTGTTTTATTGTCTTTAAATAATGTTTATTAACCGAAAAGACAAAGCCGAAAAACGTGAAAAATTAATCGTAGTAATAAACTTTATTTCGCTATAATGTATTTCATGGGTTTATGGAGACCCCTCCACACTAAAGAATACTACACTTTATTTCCCTTTATTTTGCGATTTTTGTCTTCATTCTTGTCTGTGTGTTATTTGGTTCACGGTTATTACACTTTGGTTCACGGTTATTACACTTTGGTTCACGGTTATTACACTTTGGTTCACGGTTATTACACTTTGGTTCACGGTTATTACACTTTGGTTCACGGTTATTACACTTTGGTTCACGGTTATTACACTTTGGTTCACGGTTATTACACTTTGGTTCACGGTTATTACACTTTGGTTCACGGTTATTACACTTTGGTTCACGGTTATTACACTTTGGTTCACGGTTATTACACTTTGGTTCACGGTTATTACACTTTNTCTTACAGATGTTAATATTAAGACTGTAGAGCTGATGTTATAAAAGGTTTTACACATGAAATTGGCATTTCTAATACAGTTTATGAAGGCAATTGTTTCTCGTGGACAACATTTTCAAGATTGAATGTGTACACCAACTTGAAAAAAACCTTGTCTGATCGCAAAGCTAAGACCCAAGGATCCTCGGAAATTCACGCCATATTTGTCTAAGCAATGCACATTATCGCATAAGCCTTTAAGAAGGCCATCTATTCAGTGGCAACAATTTTATTTTTAATTTAATCACTAACATGCTAATTAGAGCAAACGCAGGAAAACCATGAAATAAAATCAAACTAAATACTAACAAATAGCGACTTTTTAGAGACAATTTTTCAGTACAAATGAACCAGAACACAATGAAGATGAATCCACATGGGACCATTTTTCTAACGTRAGCGTTGTAACACTTGTCCGTACATTGTCTCGCACACTTCCATTGTTGGTCCTAACTCGTCACTCAGAATCACTGATCACTTTGATTGTACCACCTCAAATGTTGTCTATTGCATTAAATGTTCGCTTTGTAATTTGTTTGTCGGTTAGACTGGCCGTTGTCTTGGCGTATCCGTGAACATCTTTGTAGTATTCGTAATAATGATCTTAATAAGCCTGTTTCCCGCCATTTCAACCTACCTAACCATTCAATTTCTAACTTTATTGTWTTTGGTTTGTCTTTGATTAGCGGCAATAATGATTGTCGCAAAACCAAAGAAATGAGGCTCATTCACCAATAGTCTCCTTCACGGATACCTGCGCCATATTGAAAGGTAGCCGTGCCTTTACATCGAAGCGAGACGACCGTTGAGTGTGCAATGATAGATACCTGTGAATTGTCTGTAGGTGTGAAAGAAGGTTTCTATCATTGCACATTCAACGGTCGTCTCGCTTCGATGACAAGGCACGGCTACCTTTCAAGATGGCGCAGATAACCGTGAAGGAGAGTATTGGGCACTTATAATCCCCATGGGTTGAATGAACGCTTTGTTTTCAGTTTTACAGCTGTAATTCTTTTGTTCTCTTTTTAGCACCTTTATTGTTCTTTTAACACTTCCTTTGCTTTTTTTGTTTATTTCTCGTCACCATGCCTACCTTGCTCCTATTGGTCTATTCTCTTTGCTGCTCTTACTATATAAACTCACACTATACCTAGTTCTCTATCTTTACTCCGACGAAGGATTAACGTCCGAAACGTCAGTAAGTTATTTCACATACTTTTTTACGGTGTCAAATTTATCTTTTTACATAACCATTTTTCATTCATCTTTATTGCGTTCTGGTTCATTGATACTGACAATTTATCTCTAAAYAGYCGCTATTTGTTAGTATTTAGTTTGATTTTTTTCATGGTTTTCCTGCGTTTGCTCTATTTGCTTTGCCATGTTTACATGTAGCCTTTTTGAATGTGACTACGTTTTTYCAATACAAAGGCCCGTTTACACTTGCGATTTTTGCAGAGCGATTCGCGCGACCATCGTCTGAGTTTCGAACATGCTTGAAAATTGGCTGCAACTTCGCGGCGACTTTCCATCGCCGCAACAATCGCAGGGCTGTTTACACGTATGATTTTAGCGATAGAAAAGTGGCGATTATCGCGCTGCAAAAATCGCAAKTGYAAACGGRCATTAAGGTAGCTTTCTTAAGGTAGCTTTCTTTTATCGAAATAACTGAAGGACCTTAGTTGTGAGTTTCTTGCATTTTTTACGAATTCTTTTATGTCTATCTGGCGAAGTAGCGTCTATTCAAGCAGGATGTTGTGAAGTACAATGAAGCACACTCAAGGAATAAATGGCTCGTTTGGAAAGTGTTGGCCTTAATTCCTGTTTACTTGAGTGGTTTTAATAGGGAATGGCTAATGAATGGCTCATTTACTCGCTTTGATGTGATACTTGSCTATATGATGGCGCTCGGTTGGAAATTGAAAATGGGGCACTTAACTGTACGCGAAGTGTGATGCATATAAATATTGTTTTTTTTTTCTTTTCAGGTTAATTATAATACTTCAACAGTAACCAATATGCAGGCAACATTACTTGAAAATGAGCAAGCATTAGTTCATTGTAGTAAAGAGGTAAATYTCTTGATTATTACTAAGTATGGTTTGAAAATAATAGTTTAACCCCAGTACCTAGTCATTCAAAGCTCGGTTAGCGCTTATCCAAGGTTACTATAGAATTAATCCTGGGATAAACGCTAATCGGGCTTTGAACAACCCGACCCAGTTTTACAAAAGGTCAAAAAATGCATATTTTGGAGATCAAACACTTTTCTCCACACGAGGACTTCTTAAAAGAAATTATTAGGACATAAGGCTGTACAGCGATTGGTCCTAGAGACAATTCCCCCACTCACTCACTCCCTCCCCCTGCACAAGATTTTAGAATGATAGGAGAAGCCGATGGGTTCCTGAGAGAAGCCAGCTGTAAGTAACAACTGGTTGCCTGCAAAAAAATTCAGAAAAAGAACTCTCCAGGCAAGGAATACTTTCTAAGAATTTTTGCCAGGAAAATACTAATTTCCTAACTAAAAAAAATGTAAGCCGTTTTTGACCATAAAAACGTTATATAAGCCTTTTTTAACCTTAAAAACATTTTCCAGGAACAAGATTGTTTTAAAGAAGGAAGGGCGCCACATTTGCTTGTGAGATTGTCAACAATGTAGCTCAAAATCTCTTTCCACGGAAAAACTTCGTACAAGAACAGTTATTTAGAAGAACAGACCCCATCGGCTCCTCCTAATGATTTACTTTATTTTACATGTAATATTCATTGTATTGCAGTGTTCGTTCACTCAAGGTAGAAGCGGTATCTTTAATAAAAGAACAAAGTGTGCTTGGAACAGTGARGTTGAWATTACTAAATGTTTAAGGCAATACAGAAATGTTTATGGCATTGTAAGTTCTTGTCTCTTTTTAAATATTTATTGTGTGACATCAGACTGTATTATCTCGATTCATGATGCTGAATTCGGCATTCGCGTCAATGGAAACAGAATCAGATGAAAGAGGGATCCCGGCGGAATTCAAATGTTTT